TTTTATATTTTACTTTAATAAGTACGGTTAGTTATTTGATAAATATATTTATTTTCTTAACAGTAAGATGAATAATGTACAGCTAAATGTAATATGTTATATAGCCCGTTATTATATTTTTCTTGTATACAAATTAATATCGGATGTATTCTTTTCTCTCTACTCTATATTCTCAAACAAGTATAAAAACATGAATCTAGAAATGATCAGACATTTGTGTTTTTTTTACCCAGGCCTTCTATTTCATATCTAAAAAATTATGACCGTCTACAATTAAAAGGTTATCGTAATCTGCGTAAATTACTGTTATATTAACCCATTTGAAAGTAAGATGTGTGTTTTCATGAAATATTTCCGCACAACCATTTCCAACATTATCCTTAGAAAATAAACCCAATGATAGTGGTATCATATATCCGCAGAGCGAACAGGTACAATGCGTTTCGTCTGAGGTTAAAAAGTTAGAGGAATTATTCCCCTAAGTCAGCTCTGTACTGTCTCTATCTGTGCATGTAAAATTGTTGCTAAAAAAGCGTATTGAGGTCGACCCCCGGAAAAAGGACATCTGGAATTTCCTTTTTTATTTTGGAACGCATTTTAAATATAAACATTAATATAAAACAATCAAATCAACTTTAATATATACAGAGAAAAGTCAGTATTCTGGAACAATTTATATGTATCAGCATGCTAGATTGAGATTTAAAGTAAAATCAAATTCAAGGAACACTATTCCTCATTTCTTGAGAGATTTTTTATCAAAGTGAACTATGAATAATGTAATGTTTTCAATATCTCAGTATTATGAAAACAAAATATAAACATGAAGTATATATGATATTTCAGGCTAAGGAACAGATAGAAAAAGATAACGATGTTGGTGCTAAGGAGACACTGTCTGATTTAGTAGACCAGCTTAATACAACGCTCAAGAAGAACGATTTCCATGGAGCATATTTTGACCGCACGGCCAAACCTAATGACCGTCTGTGTGACAAGAAGGGCTGGTTTCAGTGTGAAGGACCTTTTGATAGTGAGAGATGTGATAGTTTTCATACAATAAATCCTTATGCTTCAAGAGGTTACCGGCAACTGTTTGGGTTATGGAATTTAGATCATGTGTAAGTAAATATAGGTGCTAATCTTTGATTTTCAGCAGACCATCTCTGAGTAATTGGCTGTGTTGTTAATGTAACTTGCTGTCCTCTCTTCCCCTCTGTATGACTTTGTGTATGTTGTTGAGAAACACAGGGCATCGGCATATGATTGAACAACCAATGCTACGTTTTAAGACAATATGTTCGCATATTTTCTACAGTTTAGGCCGCACGAGTTAGCTTGAATGAAGTTAGCTGCCCATGTCCTGACAAAAGCCATGGGGAGTGGCCCTACAATTTAGAAAGAGTCATGGAGGTGGGCAAGCTCCTAGTACAAATGATGGCTTATAAGGCAGGCCCTTTGCTTGGCACCAACAGCCCTTTTAAGGGCTATTTCTTTTTATTACTGTAAGTTACTGTAAATTTAGGTTTTCATTGACCGCCATACAGTGACCTACTTTTGGCTCAAAATTCATATCTTTGACTAATACTCTGTGGAAATTGCATGGAGGTAAATTATCACCAGTTTGTGCTTCAAAATCATTTTAAGGGCATCGCTGGTGACATATCCGGGGTCCGTATTCAACAGCATAAGCTGCTTTTTTGTGCCTTACAGGGCAGATGGACCTTCATTAAGCATAGACTATATACATACAACTTGCTGTCCTCTGATCATTGCTTGTTGTCCTGACTGTAGGTTTGAATCCCTCAAAATATATTGAATTCTTTCATATTAGAAAATGTTCATCAGCTAGCTTACTGAAGCATTGCCATTCTTTCAAGTCAGATATATTTGGAAGTATGTCACAGGGAACCATTCAAGATGGAAAGTCCTTGTCGTGTTGGTGTGACTGTAAATTCAGACCCTTAAATAATGTAAGAAGGTGCATCTGAGGTTTTATTTCACAAGTAAACTATGCTAGAAGGGGAGAGAATAACAAAAAGCTTCTAGCTTTCAGTTCAGTCCACTTCATCATGATATGTTAAGATCCCTGACCTGTCTAATTTTAATTATCAGATTAGTGGATACAATAAGTATTTTACCACAACAAATTTGTTAACAAAGGAGCATATGTCAATGTTTGTGATTAAATATATTGGTATTCAAATTAAAGGTCAGAGTAGGGATCTATCATTTGTATTAATTTTCTGTATGTTGTGTTGTATTGTAACTTGATAAAAAATAAATATGTTAAAACCAAAGCTAGAAAATTTGACATATGTCTTTGACTTTTTATGTGTGACTTAAATTCTTAATTTATTCCAACTAAAATATATGGTTTTGATATGCTTTCTTTGCAATATCATGTAAGATTAATTAACTAAAAACTATTTTTGATATTTTGATCTTAATTTCAGTATAGAGAAATCTAGAGAAATTTTACCAACATTAATCGAAGCAGCAAAGAGAAGGAAGAAACATGAACAGATCAACTGGGAGTACGTGTATAAATTATTGTTTACGAAGAATAACCTGAAACTCGTGCAAATTGGCTGCCACAAAAAGGCTGCGAGAACTCAGACTTGCAGTGTACAAGATTTCCTCATTAGCTGATGATAGGTCCGGGGATAGATAATAGTATTTCATGTTCTATACTGTCCTATTCTGCGATATAGATTATTATTTAGTTAAAAGAGATAGATGACTTGAGTATAAATCACCTGGCCCCATGTTCACTAAGATTAAACCAAAAACTCAAATATTCTCCATTGTTTATCGTCATAAATTAAAATATTGAGCTTGATCCTAAAATTGATCCAATTATTTTTATATTTGTTCTGTTTTCCATTGATTTTTATCTCAAAATAGGTTTGCTTCTTTGCATTTTTTTTACATTTTGAATATGTTCCATTCAATTCTAGCAAGATTCAATTAATTTGAGTTTTATATAACAATGAAAAGAAAATCTGGATCATTTGATCGTGATCTTTTTCTTAGTGAACACACAGCCTGTATTGTAGACAGGGATTCACAATACATTGACACTATTGTTTTTATCAGTACTTAAAATATGGTAAATTTAACCATTGTTGTCCAATCCACTTTAATGGCCGTCACTTTCAAAGAAAATTTCAATCTTAAAGTTTAATAACAGAAAAAGGAATTATAGTTGTCACAGGATGTAATTTCTACTTGCTTTTTAACTTGTCTTTCTCACAAAGGCTTTCTGTTAAAGCTCCATAATTTTATTCTTTTTGTATATCTTTTTCATATTTAAAAAAGTTTTTTTTATATTGATGTTATTATTGTATAAAATTTTTTTTCCATATTACGCATTTTTTTTTGTTATGAATGTACAGATATATTTGATTACTTTAATATAATGATGTATTTATTAGACTTATGCCTTCCTATTATACAACATATGGCAAGAACAACACAATTCAACAAATTGTGAGCATAAATTTAACTCTTAAATTGAACTCATATTTTTGAATGGGATACATAATTCCATGTAATTTGAATTTCGGAAAATCAGGTAAATTCACATGAAAGAAACAGAATAACAAATAATAGTGGTGCATATTAGTTAATCTGTTGAGCTTACTTTTGAAGCTAATTTATTTTGTTATATTTAATTACTTTTTTTTTTATAAATTACTGATTAGAAACTTTTTTGAGTGTTGTTAAAGAAAGATATATTTTTTGAGAGTGCTTGTTATACATTTGTTAAAAGTTTATTTTTTGAAGCTTTGTTATGTATTGAATTTCCGGTTACATATCACTTTAAAACAGTGCATTTATAAAATTGTCTCTCTCTCTCTATATATATATTTTATGACCATTTTTTTGTATTTATATTTTCAAACATTCCAGGCATAGCCGTATCCATTTACCTCCTATTTAAAGCGTCTTTTTTATGTGCTGTGTAATTTTTACATGTTGTTGGTTTGTATTTTCTTCAATTTGCTCTTCCATCATTCTTACGGTGCAACTTTTACATTGAAGCGCCCTGTGAAGCAATGACCTCTTTACAACATTTCCCAAAAGGAAATTTCACAAAAGAATTTAAACTCCATAGAACAACTCCTCTTAGCAACTACTTATTCGTCTCTGAACGGTGGTTGTTAAAAAATAAAATAATATGAGTTATAACTGGTTTTTGTTGGATTATATGGCCCATTATAATACTGCACGTCTGTTACGTTGCTTTTCATTGGATAATCGTGACATTTATATAGTTTTATAATATTATACATGGCTGCTGTAAATTTATTAAGAAATCACATTTTCCCCTAAAAAAGGGGGAGTTTGCTGTATTATAAATTTGTCATAAAATTCCTGACAGGTTATATGGCCATATATGGAAGTTGGCAATATAATCCTTCCCTTGGGACTCTGGTTAAATATACAAACAACCATTTATATATAGCTATATAACCTGTCGGAAATTTTTATGAGTAATAATATAAACAGCTATAAGGTGATATATACATTTATATAAAATATACAACCTGAGATGCTAGGGTTATCTTAATTTTTAAGTGTGTTGTTTTTAGCTCACCTGTCACAAAGTGACAGGGTGAGCTTTTGTGATCGCTTTTCGTCCGTCCGTCTGTCCGTCCATAAACTTTTACTTTAAATGACATCTCCTCATTAACCAGTAAGCCAATTTCATCCAAACTTCACAGGAATGTTTCTTTGGTAGTCACCTTTAATAAATGTTCAGAGAATTTGATTCCATGCAGAACTCTGGTTGCCATGGCAACCGAAAGAAAAAACTTTAAATATCTTCTTTTAAAAAACCCAAAGAGCTAGAGCTTAGATATTTGGCATGAAACATCTTCTAGTAAGTGTCTACCAAGTTTATTCAAATAAAAGCATTGATTTTCTCTATATGCATATAGTAAAAACTTAAAAAATCTTCTTTTAAAGAACCCAAAGAGCTAGAGCTAAGATATTTAATATGAAACATCTTCTATTGGGTGTCTACCAAGTTTGTTCAAATAAAAGCCCTGGGGTCAAAATTGGCCCCACCCAAGGGGGGTCATTGATTTTCCCTATATGCATATAGTAAAAACTTAAAAAGTCTTCTTTTAAAGAACCCAAATAGCTAGAGCTAAGATATTTAGCATGAAACATGCTCTAATAGGTGTGTACCAAATTTGTTCAAATAAGAGCCCTGGGGTCAAATTTGGCCCTGTCCAGAGGGTCATTGATTTTCCTTATATGTGTATAGCAAAAACTTAAAAAATCTTCTTTGAAAAAACCCAAATAGCTAAAGTTTAGATACTAAGCATGAAACATCTTCTAGTGAGTGTCTACAAAGTTTGTTCAAATAAAAGCCCTGGGGTCAAAATTGGCTCCGCCCCGGGGGTCATTGATTTTATTTATGTGTATAGCAAAAACTTAAAAAATCTTCTGTGAAAAAAACTCAAATAGCTAGAGTTTAGATATTAAGCATGAAACATCTTCTAGTGAGTGTCTACAAAGTTTGTTCAAATAAAAGCCCTGGGGTCAAAATTGGCTCCGCCCCTGGGGTCATTGATTTTATTTATGTGTATAGCAAAAACTTAAAAAATCTTCTTTGAAAAAACCCAAATAGCTAGAGTTTAGATATAAAGCATGAAACATCTTCTAGTGAGTGTCTACAAAGTTGGTTCAAATAAAAGCCCTGGGGTCAAAACTGGCCCCGCCCTAGGGGTGTCATTGCTTTTAACTATATGTGTATAGTAAAAACTTGAAAGATCTTCTTTTAAAAAAACTCAACGAGCTCGACCTTCGATGTTTAGCAATGGGTGTCTACCAAGTTTGTTCAAATAAAAGCCCTGGGGTTTAAACTGGCCCCGCTCTGGGGGCCTATATACAGGTGAGTGACTTCAGGGCCATCATGGCCCTCTTGTTGTTTTTTTGGTGAGTATCTATACTTTCAGGTCGTGTTTCATTTTAATTGGGTCAAGGTTACTGGTGCTAAAAATAGATTTTCCCTTCACTTCGTATGCAATTCCATGTGTTTACTTTTGTCAAAGTGAGATCTTGAACAAGTGTGAATGTTACATACATCATATCATGTAAATTAGTGTTCTTTATTTTAATTACTTGAATTTGCCAGGTCTTACAAATATATTATTTATATTTTCTTACCATTTTCAGTTTATATCACTGGAAACATTATGATACATGTAACTTACTATTTTGAAATATGTCATTAAATATATGAACATTGTTATATATATTTATATATTTATTTATAGCAGTTGTTGATATTTTTTTCTAAGAATATAGGAGTTTATTAATTACAAAATATTGATCCATTTATTTAATTATCTGTTAATGAATAATAGAGTTTACTGAAAAATGAAATAATTTTGCTAAAGCAACATGTCTGAGTAATTGGTGAGGTTAAATAGTCATGATTTTCTGTTTTTTATTTCTGCTGAATATTTATTTTATTTAGATAAATTGCAAACATTTATTTTCCAAAAAAAAAGAAAATCTTTAATTCATGAAATTTTGAGTATATTCCACAGAGATGAAGCAAAGCATACTACTTTGTTAACATTATTTATATTACTGTATTGTATATTCCATTGTTCACTGTAAGTGGCTGGATGTACCAGACTCAGTGGGTTTAGCTTCAGGAAAGAGGATACTGGGTTTGAGTCCTGGCTGCTCATTTTTCATACTCTGTGTGACATATAGAGATATAAAAATTAAATCAAACTCCTTCAAAAATTAACTTTTAGGTCTGTTTCTGTTGATATGTTCTCAGTGATATTTTCCCCTATTTTTAACATCTTTTGATATTTAATGTCTGTGAAATGTTTCTGTCAATTAGCCTTTTATGAAAAGTGCTGTATTTTGTGATGATCATGTTAAAAATGACCTGTTACAATAACTGTTAACTTCCGTCCATCTTTGTGTGTAGATACTTGTATTAATAAGTATAATTTAAAGAGCCTCTTAATCACTATGATTTATCATGGGAAATATTTTCATCCATGTTACAAAGATGCTCATTCAGATAAGTTGACCTTCCTCTAGAATGTAATTTTTCAGAGATCACTTTTAAACTTATTTTTACTTGTATATTATATTAAGACACATACAAAAAAGGGGTGTGAATTTCAAGAAAACGTTTTTCATATTAATGTCCATTTTTTAAACTTAGAAAAATACATGTATTTTAATTCCTTTTTTAAAGAAATATTTCCCATAAAAAAAGTTGAAGAAATAAGGATGAGCACAACATAGTAGTTTTCTTGAATTTGATTTTTTGCTCTATAATTTTAACATATTTTTGTGCATTATTTTAATATTTCCTTTGTCAGTGAGGATAAAAGGACACAAATTTATTAGAATGTCTTGCATAATTGTTTACCTATTACTGAATGCATTGTCTCGATTGGGAAAATTCCCTAAGGTTTTGTAGCATTACAATGTACTCTCAACTTAAAGCTTGAGTGATAAAATAATGATGGTGGCATTTATGGGTGACAATGGCATTATTACTGTTTTTGATGTGCTGTCAAATAATATATTCAGTTGTTTCTGCCATTCATTATTGATTTTTGTGCCGTGACTGCCCCAATTAATTTATATTGGCAGATATTGAATTTTACATCTGCCTTGAATGAAGAAACATAGATTAAAAGAGCATTACAAATACATGTCAGATCAGCTATTGAAAATGGAAATTTCAGACTTATGGAGCAAAAATGGTATATTGAGAATTGTAATATTGCGAGTTCAAACACTGTGATTATATAGATGCTACTAAACTATCACAACACTTTCTGTATACTTTAACAACAAAACCACTTGTATATAAGAGATTCAAGGTTGTAGTGTTACTGCAGTCATCAACAAGGTTATTGCAAGGGAAAACATTAAATCTCACAATCCAAAAATATCCCTTTTTGATAAAACTTGGCAAAAATGTTTGTTATAATAACACGATGTGTCATTTGCAAAAACTGGTCACCTTCCTCTGAGGTCAAGATCACACTTGTAGGTCAAAGATAAACATAGTCTGTTATAGGGTATATTTTGTGTCCGGTCCATAACTTTTACATACATCAAAGGATTTTGAAAATACTTGGCACAAATAGTCACAATAATAAGATAACATGTTAAGTACAACACCTGCACCCCTACCTCTAAGGTCACACTTAGAGGTCAGAGCTTAACATGATAATTTTTTTTAATTCAGTGTTTCATTTTATTAGCTCGACTATTCGAAGAATATGAGAGCTATTGTAGTCGCCCCGGCGTCCGCGTCGGCGTCTGCGTTGGTTAAAGTTTTTTGTAAAGTCAAATATATCAATTATTACTTGAGATATTCAATTGAAACTTACAATACTTATTTATAGTAACAAGGTACATCAGATTGACAAGTTGGATAACTCTGCCTACAATATTGACAGAATTATGCCCCTTTTTAACTTAGAAATTTTGGTTAAAGTTTTTTGTAAAGTCAAATATCTCAATTATTGCTTGAGATATTAAATTGAAACTTACAATACTTATTTATAGTAACAAGGTACATCAGATTGACAAGTTGGATAACTCTGCCTACAATATTTGACAGAATTATGCCCCTTTTTAACTTAGAAATTTTTGGTTAAAGTTTTTTGTAAAGTCAAATATCTCAATTATTGCTTGAGATATTAAATTGAAACTTACAATACTTATTTATAGTAACAAGGTACATCAGATTGACAAGTTGGATAACTCTGCCTACAATATTGACAGAATTATGCCCCTTTTTAACTTAGAAATTTTGGTTAAAGTTTTTTTGTAAAGTCAAATATCTCAATTATTGCTTGAGATATTCAATTGAAACTTACAATACTTATTTATAGTAACAAGGTACATCAGATTGACAAGTTGGATAACTCTGCCTACAATATTGACAGAATTATGCCCCTTTTTAACTTAGAAAATTTTGGTTAAAGTTTTTTTTTAAAGTCAAATATCTCATTTATTGCTTGAGATATTCAATTGAAACTTACAATACTTATTTATAGTAACAAGGTACATCAGATTGACAAGTTGGATAACTCTGCCTACAATATTGACAGAATTATGCCCTTTTGGAACTTAGAAATTTTGGTTAATAGTTTTTTTTGTAAAGTCAAATATCTCAATTATTGCTTGAGATATTCAATTGAAACTTACAATACTTATTTTATAGTAACAATGTACACCAGTTTGCGAAATTGCATAACTCTGCCCTGCAATATTTGGCGGAATTATTTGCCCCTTTTAAAACTTAGAAATTTTGTTAAAAGTTAAAGGTCTTCAAAGATATTTACTGGAAACTTTACACATGCACTTAGGGTCATAATTGGAGGGTCATAATTGTATGTCACTGACCAAGTTTCCATAACTCTATCTTGCATAAAGGATGATTCATATCCCCTTTTCTACTTAGTCTCTTGGTTAATGTTTACATGCAAGTTTTACATATCTCAATAACTATTAAAGATATTTATTTTAAAACTTCACATATGCATTTAGGGTCATAATTGTAGGTCACTGACAAAGATCCATAATTCTATTTTGCATTTAGGCTGATTTTTTCGCCCTTTTTCAACTTAGAAATTCATGGTAGGGTTTTGCTTGTAAGCTGTTATCTCAATAACTACTGAAGAGTTTGTGCCTTTTTTGGGACACTTTTATGCATTCATAATAATAAATCAGTGATTTATTGATAAAACATTTTAATAACAAGCCTTTGTACCTTTTCTGTCAAATTTATGTATTCATAGGTAATTAGTATTATTATACTCAATAAAACACCTTGTGACATTACCTTCCAAATAGTCAAGCCAATACTGTATAATTAGAACTCTCTCTAAGGCCTATAACATGAATTTATAAAAAAAAATTAGCCCTTTTGTGAACTTAAAAAATTTAACATTATCAAGGCTCCTTTACTATCAAGCACTAAGAATAGTCGAGCGTGCTGTCCTACCGACAGCTCTTGTTTCTTTAATAAATTAATTGTTGCATTTGCAGATCTAGCATTGATCATAATTTTGGACTGAAAATCCTGAGATCCATACCTCAATCTTTTGAAATAGCACAATTTTATGCTTCATATACAACTTCCCTGAGACGGTGGACATTAGTAACTCTGTTAACAATTCTTGTTATTCATATATTGATATGAATATTTTGAATAAAAGTCCAACAATATGATAGTTTGGTATCGTTTGTACTAAGCAAAGTATTATTGCTAGTCAGTATGATCTTGACATTTTCTACACCCCTTCAGTAGTTTGCCCAGTAGTTAGCTTGATAGGGGAAGCATCGGATTAGTTATCCAGGGGGCTGCTGGTTCAATCCTTGCGTGTGATGAAATTTCTCTGTGATAATTTATCTGGGGCATTGAATCTAATGGTCATTTGTCTGTCATTGCTGAATCAGAAATCATATAGGATTAGTAATTGTCAAGTAGACATTTTGGGA